GGAGAAGCCAGTCTGCAAAGCGCTTACCGACAAGGCCCGGGGTGGCCCTGGGGGAAGAGCGGGTCTGTGGCGGCCTCTGGTGTGTGCATCTCAGGAGCCCTCGCCAGGGACACAGTAACAGAATTCGGTGCGGATGCCTCTGTGGAACCCAGAGGGCGGTGCTTCCGGGGCGCTGCAGGCAGAGCTGGGGTGACTGGGCCGGCGTCCGGGGAAGAGGCTGGTTTCAGAGCAGCCGAACCAAGCAATGCTTTGCGGGACCCTCTGCCCCTACGCGGCCAGGCCCCTGCGCTCCTGTGGGCCTGGAGCTGCCTGGGCTGCAGTGCAGGTGGGAGAGGAGTGTCATGCTCAGCCCCTTCATGGCGATCCACCGCCAATAGCTCTCACTTCGCTTCCCTTTTCTAATCCTCTCTCTTCTTCCAGGACCGTTCACTCTTCCTTTGTGCTTGCCGGGGACCAGGGGTGGCGGGGAAGACAGGGAGCATGATCAGCTTTTCCCACTCGTTCTCAATCCCTTCCTACACCAACAACTGCTTGATGGGTTGGCTCATTGCAATGTGTTTCATCGGCTGTCCACGTAAGTTAGCGTATAACACAGGGTGGGGCAAACGTAGGCTACGGTTGTTTGCTTGGGAAATAATACAATAACTAATGAAAATAATACCAGAATAAACAGGGTATTTTGTGCTCGCAACTGTACACCTGCCTTTGCTACCCTGTGTACTAGCTACTCTGAACAGAAGGGATCATGACATGGCAGACGACTGGGAATAGAAATGCGCTCGAATATCAGAATCCCGTCTCACTCCAAGGCCGCCCCGCCCGTCAGACTTCTTAGGTACGAGCAGCAGGAACCCGGCGTCTGGCTGAGTTCTGCCGAAAAGGAATGCGTTCTGAAGGCTGTCTGACAACCTCCTGGCATCGCCAGAGAAGCTGGGCTCGGGGAAGAAGAAAGAAGGTTCGGCAGCCAGAGTCCCAGGCAGAAGCCGTGCGGCTGACACAGGCTGTGGAATGAATCGCTCCAGTATTTAGCGGAACCATCGGTCCGGCCTACAGTTTCGTGTCTGACGGTTTGGGCTGGGCTCCCTCGCGGGTCTGTCTTCAGTGCCGATGGAACTGGGCTGGCACCACAAGCGAGGCTGTGATGCTCGTCAACCTGGGGGCTCGCCCCGGCCCGTCCACACCGTCCACACCGTCCACACCGTCCACACCGCCGCTCAAGGCGGGTCCCAGAGCGCGAGGGACGTGCCATCACGGAGGACGGATATAACTGGTCACCCCCCCCCCCCCGACTCTCCCTGTGCTGTATCAGACCCCAAAATGCAATCTAAGATGCGACGTGTGCGAGGTGAACAACCGGCTTTAACTCGTTAGGATGGATTTATCCTCCTTGGATGGAGGTAACGCTGTTCGGGTTCATAATTATAAACGTGGTAAATTTTAACCGTAAAGATTCATTAAGCAATGCATGTGTCATGACTCTTGTGTCCATTTCTCTGTTCATGTGTTTCATAGTTTAAAGTACTTTGGCCTTTAAACTAGCTTTGGCACAAACATAGACATTTTCACGTAACATTAAGGAGCAAATTCCAAAAATAAATAATTCTAGTTTTTCATAGGGTGTCCTTACTCCTATATCAGATACATTTCTCTTGAATCCAACTCGACATCTTTTGGTGGATGGGACAGGGCCCCTCCCACTCAGCCACCCGGCCAGGGCTCAGCATACAGACTTTTGAAGACTCTGTTGCCATGATGGGTAACTGGTCAACAATGGGACACACTGTTATTGTCATTAAAGTCCAGCATTTTCCTCGCTAATCAAATACCCGTTGGTGTCCGTGTTCCAATGACATGGAGACCCAGCTTCCAGCTGCTTCCCCGTGAAATATTGGTTCATTTACTCTCATTGGCGGGCCATCTTAAATTACTTGGAGAGAACTTAGCACAGATTGAACAAATTAAAGATATTTGTGTAATGTGGCTCTTGCCATTTTATGACATTTCAAAGTTTAAAATTTTCTCTGAATAACATTTGCGAAGGCAAATGGATGTCTGAAATTTAAATGTGGTATTAAAAATATTACTCTACTGCAGTTTATGGCATATTAGGGAAGAGTTTTCACGTCTATCAAATCTTTTTTTAAAAAATATCTTTTATTGATTTCAGAGAGGAAGGGAGGAGAGAGAGAGAGAAACATCAGTGATGAGAGAGAATCATTGATCAGCTGCCTCCTGCATGCCCCACACTGGGGATCGAGCCCGCAACCCGGCTTGTGCCCTGACCAGGAATTGAACCTTGACCTCCTGGTTCATGGGTTAATGCTCAACCAGTGAGCCACACTGGCCGGGCCAGCCATACACTCTTTGTCACAGCTACTCAATTGCCCCTGTCCTGTCCAAGTAGCCCCAGACATTACAGGGAGAAACGGGTGTTCCGATGACACCAGTTAGAAGAGCAGCCTGGATTGGGCCTATGAGCTGTCATTCACCATCCCTGCTGTGCAGCCCAAGGACCGCAGCGGCTAACTGGTCCCCACACCCTGTGCCAGGAGAGAGACTGAAAAGCTGTGCTTCTCCCTTTGCTGCCCCCCCTCGGCCCCCCACAGGCCAAGGCAAGCTCCGCAGGGCTGCTCCAATTCTCCCGGTGACAGGCACCTGCCCAGGCGCAGCAGCACCCACGCTGGGACGACGGGGTCCGAGTTCTCGCCCTCCCGATCACATGCGCATCCATCCTTCCTGCAGGCATGGCACCGCCAGAACCAGGGCCTGAACGGCTTCTGCCTCAGTTACATATGCCTCCAGCGCTGGTCCTTCCTAACACCTCCTGCACCCCATTCTGATGAGTCGGGGTCACCAAGCCAGAAGTCCCTCTAGTGAGCCTGTGTGTCTCCTCCGCCAGGAGACCTCCTGTCCAGGCCGCCCTTGGTCACCCGGAGACTCCCTTCACTCTCACCCAGGAAAGCAGGGCTCTGAGTCCTGGCCCCTTCTTCCCAAGACCCTTGCTCGTGAGAAAACCGAGGCATCTCCCACAGCCCAGCAAGCGATGCTGCAAACTCTCCTGGGGGACTCATTCTTATACACGCCATGTGCCCAGTGCACCATCAGAGGAGAATTGTGAGAACTGGGTAATCATTATACCCAGCCATGTGCCCAGGGCACCATCAGAGGAGAATTGTGAGAACTGGGTAATCATTATACCCAGCCATGTGCCCAGTGCACCATCAGAGGAGAATTGTGAGAACTGGGTAATCATTATACCCAGCCATGTGCCCAGTGCACCATCAGAGGAGAATTGTGAGAACTGGGTAATCATTATACCCAGCCAAGTGCCCAGGGCGCCATCAGAGGAGAATTGTGAGAACTGGGTAATCATTATACCCAGCCATGTGCCCAGGGCGCCATCAGAGGAGAATCGCGAGAACTGGATAATTCTTACACACATGCCTTGTGCCCAGGGCACCATCAGAGAAAAATTACGAGAACTGTATAATCAAAATCGGGGCTCATTCTCATGTGTTGGACTCCCTTCTCACCTCTGGTGAAAGGTGCCCGTGTGCTCAGAGCTTTGGGAAAAAGTCAGAGAGTGAGACCTCACCCCAACAGACTCCGGGACCACAAAGCCCTGAGGTAATCCGTGCTGCTGACTCAGCCTCTGTTTCCCCAGGGCCAGCCTCACCCTGTGGGAGAGAGTAGAGATCATAACAGGTCTGTGCTCCCCAAATACTCACCAAGGCTCCGTGTATACAAAATACTGTGCTGAGGGTGAAGTGGTTAAAGAAAGACGAGTGACAGGTGGTGCCTACTCCCAAGAAGCAAAATATTGTTGGAGAAGAAACACTAAAGACAATCAAGGCGGAATGCGACCCAATCTACAAACTATGTCCAAAGACAGTCGGAAAGAGCCGCCTCGGGAAGAGGGTCCTCACGGATGGCGACGGGGGGAGATCTGACTCTGGGCGGGGAGCACACAGTGCAATGTGTAGGCCTGGTGACACAGGAACCCACACCTGACACCTGTATGACCATATGCACCAACGTCACCCCAATAAATTAATTAAAAATAGAATCACAGGCCTGGCTGCATGTGGCTTAGCGGTTGAGCTTCAGCCCAGAAACCAAGAAGTCACCGGTTCGATTCCTGATCAGGGCACATGCCCAGGTTGTGGGCTGGATCCTCAGTGGAGACATGCAGGAGGCAGCCGGTGCATGATTCTCATCATTGATGATTCTATCTCTCTCTCTCCCTCTTCCTCATCAGGAAGTTGCTTTTCATTGGAAACTTTGAGAATGAGAAAAGGAAGGGTCCGGGAAAGGCTTGCTTGCAGGAGAGCATGTTTGTGCAACGCCCCGCAGGCTGGGGTGTCTGGATGTGGGGTCCGCTCTGGGAGAACGGGGAGTGAGGTGGACAGGCTGGCGAAGGGTGGACCAGGGCAGCCCAATGCCACGCTAAAGACTGAACACAGTTTGTAGGCCACGGAGAGCACCAAGGGGCATTTCTGAGCAAACCGGTGGCCTGAGAGCCAAGCTAGGAAGGGGGGCGGTGAACAGGGGCGAAATGGCACCTGTCCTTCCTCCGACTTCTGCCTGGCCTGCCCTGGGGAGAACAGATGAGAATATAGTAAGCCAAACGCACAGCACAGCTCACTCCGAGTGTTCGGGGTGCAGTGCAAAACAAGGATTACCCCCTCCCCTCCCCCCGCCGGGATGCTCAGTGGTTGATCATCCACCCATGAGCCAGGAGGTCACCATTGGATTCCGGGTCAGGGCGCACGCCTGGGTTTCACCGGGTGGTTGCTGCGGGCGCCGGAGCCCGGCTGTGCGCTCCAGCATCCCGAGGTCAGCGCTCCCAGGGGACCCTCGCTCCCCTCGCTCCCCAGGCGCAGCCTGCAGAATCCAGGGGCGCGCCCCCATTTCGGATTCTGACGTCAGGTTCCCACAGCCCGCAGGGGCGGGGGAGCGGGAGGGAGGGAGGGAGGGAGGGAGGGTGGGAGGGAGGCGAGGCCATTGCAGCAACAGTTTGGAGCGGAGCTGGTCATCTCAGCGGGGAATCAGGGCGCGGGACCTGAGCGGGAGGGAAGGGGCCAAGGACCACCGGGCTGCGCCCGAGAGGCGGGGACAGGCGGGGACAGGCGGGGGCGCTGCGCCCGCGGGGATGTGACATCAGCGAGCAGCGCAGGCGGCTGGAGCAGGCAGCTCCCCTTGCTGCGCGGTGCGCACCTCGCCCGGGAGGACGCGGACCCGGACCGGCCAGCGGCGGGATGTCGGCGAAGGAGAGGCCGAAGGGCAAAGTGATCAAGGACAGCGTCACCCTCCTGCCCTGCTTCTATTTTGTGGAGGTAGGTGGGCCAGGGCCTCGGCACCGCGGGTTCTCCCGGCAGCTCCGGGGGTTCGGGACCTGGACCGGACCTGGAGTGCCCAATCCCCTCCCCCCTCACCTTCGGGGAGCTCCCCGCCCGGTGCCTGGGACTACCTGCCCCCCCTTCCCAGGCACTGGCTCTGGCACTGGCGCTGCGGGGCGGCCTGCAGGGAAGGGTACCTGTGTGAGTGCAGGGGGCTGGTTCCCGGGCCCCCCTGGCTGTGTGCACAGCCCCGTGCTCCCAGGGGCCCTGAGGCCATATTCCTGGGTTTGTGTCTTCAACCTGCGAGTGTGCCTCTAGAATCCTATGCGTTTTGATTAGGAATTCAAATGCGCAAATTGCACACAGCCCTGCCCGGTGCGTGAGGGCCGCGATGTGTACAGAGTACGAGGGCTATGGGTGGCTTTATTACCAAAAACACAAACAAACCATAAAAGCCTTCTCCTGGCATAGCCACTATGGTGCTCCCATCTGCTCCTAAAACTGGGCCTGCGAATCTCGGCACCAACCTACGGGCCGTCTTCCATGGTTAGCAAAAAAATTATACATGCACACACACACATGCATACATGATGGCTCCATGTCGGTATGCACGCATGTGTGAAAGAAGTGACATCATCTGGTCTTATGAGGTTTGTCCATGTGCATTTGTCCTGAGCTGTGCTGAGCAGGATTACAGACAAGCAGTTAACCTGCCATGTATCCCTAAGGAGTCTCTAACTCACCAGAATGCAGTGCTTCGGGGAGGGGGTGTGGGGGAGGGCCATGGAGATTGGCAGGTGCAGGCCTTTCCTGCAAGGGGACGGGGGGGGGGGGGGGGGTGTGCTTGCTAAGCCAGAGGCTGATGAAATCGCAGGCCGGGAGAAATGTGGTGCTCGGGGGGAGTGAATGCAGGTGGCAAGGGGCATGGCGCTGTGCTGTGCGATCAGGGCCTGCATTGCATGGCGGACGGGAAGGCTGTTGCTGAATGATCCATACCCCTCCTTGGCCGTCGCTCGGCCAAATATGGAGGCTCAGTACTTGCAAGGACAGATGGCAGATCCTGTGCTGTGGCTCCGGAGGCTTATCTGTGGTGGGGCCGCCCCCGCCTGACACTGGGGGAGGGGCTGGCCAGGCTGTCTTCCTGGAAAACAGTCTGTTTGCAAGTGTTGTCTCAAGAGTCACAAATGGTTTTAAGGGGAGTCCCTTGGAAGAAAGAGGAAGGTGGTTTGCAGAAAGTGTCAGAGAGACGATGGCTGCCTCCCTCACCCACCACCCCTGGGAGAAAAGAAATGGTCCTGTTGACTTAAAGTAACGAATGGGCCCACTCCCTGCTGCCTTCCTCTTTCCAGGAGGGGTTTTGAGGCCATGTTTTAGGCGATTTTACCAAAAGATAATAAAGAATTTCCTAAAGAGACGTGTGGGCAGCAGAAGACGCCCTGGTGAACAGAGTAAGGGCCCCGCCTGTGTGGCTCAGGGGTTGAGCGTCGACCTGTGAGCCAAGAGGCCACGGTTCAAATCCCGGTCAGGGCACAGGCCCGGGTTGTGGGCTTGATCCCCAGTGTGGGGCATGCAGGAGGCAGCCGATCCATGATTCTCTCTCAACATGGATGTTTCTCTCTCTCCTTTCCTCGCTCTGAAATGGATAAAAACATTTTTATAAAAGGTTAAGAGAGTAGAAAGATGGGCACCTGCTTCTGAGTTAAACCCTGCCCAGCCGTTGGTCACGTGGCTGACCCGCTGTTTGTAGGAAGGCGCTTTCATTGATGTCGGGATGGACTCCCTGTGCCTGGGAGAGGCGGGTTGATTGCGGGGACCCACCCCCCCCGACAGAGCACAGGGAGGTCAGCCGGGCCTGCTGCGGGTGGATGAGAGCCTCCTAGCCACAGGGCTTCAAGGAAAACGCTCCCCCACGAGGGGCGCACAGCGGGGGACGAGGGCTGTGCCTTTGCTGGACCCAGGCGTGTGCTTCGGAGGCACCTTGGACGGGCGGGCAGGTCCCTGCGTCTAGACCAGCCGTGGGCAAATACGGCCCGCGGGCCAGATCCGGCCCGTTTGAAATGAATAAAACTAAAAAAAAAAAAAAAAGGACCGTACGCTTTTATGTAATGATGTTTACTTTGAATTTATATTAGTTCACACAAACACTCCATCCATGCTTTTGTTCCGGCCCTCCGGTCCAGTTTAAGAACCCATTGTGGCCCTCGAGTCAAAAAGTTTGCCCACCCTTGGTAGAACGTTAACAGTGAACACGCCTCACGAGGCGTCTCGAGGCAGGAACATGGCCCTGAAGCCGCTCCTCTCCTGGGTGGGAGCCCGCATCACCCTTCACCCTGACCCGGTGGCTGCCCTCTGAGAACTCCCGCAGGGCAGCAGTTCCTGGAAGCCCATTCGTGGTGTTTGAATGAGCATCCATGACACTGTCTTGGGGTGCAGAGAACAGCCACAAACCTGGCTTGCGGATGGTCTCCCTGAAACGTAAATGCAGGACGGACGGCCAGAGACCCTCTAGAGAGCGGGGAGACAGGCCCGCCCCTCTCTAAGGGCCTGGGGTGGGGGGCGGGCATTGCGGGTCCCTGGAACGACTCATATGAGTAAGTCTGGCGATTCCGTCTGCTCTGTTCAGGGAAGGTCATGGTCATGGTGGGGCAGGAACTCTCACACCAAGCGCATCAGGGTCTTATGGGGAGAACAGAGCAGCAGGGGGAGCGGTCTGCTGCCCTGCGGGTTCCCACGCACCCTCCACGGGCGGAGTACCCCTCAGGATGGCGCCACTGCTGGCTGCACACCTGGAACCAGGGGAGGCCCCTCCCGCCCCTCCCCATGCTCCTGGGAGGGGCTGTGCATGTGCCTAAATGTGCTTCCTTCCTGCGCATCCACTCTGCTCAGGCTGCTGGGGGTGTGGCTGGCTTCTTCCTTTTACATAAACGTCAGCAGCGGCAGGAAGCACAGAACCTCACATGTCTGCATTGCACCCACCAGAATAGCAGTGGGAGACCCCTCCTTTTCTAGATGATGGGGGAGAGTCTGCTCCAGCTACCCCAGACGCTGGCGAGGCTGAGCGGGCCCCGCTCTCCTCTCCTGGAGGCACAGGGCACCCAGGTCTCTGATGGAAAAGAAGGGGAACCAGGGAACAGATGCCCGAGTTTTAGGGAGACTACACGACGGCATTTCCGCAACTACTGAAACAGATGCTGAACCTCAGCCCTGCCTTCGGGGGGTGGGACACCATTCCTAGGCACCAACGTGTGCCACCGTTCTCCACGGCCACATCACTCAGATGGTCTCCGTCCTGCTTTTCTCAAACAGGGAGAAACAAGTGCTGGCTTCTACCAACCTCAGACTGAGGTTAATGATGATGACGACTATCGTAATAAAACTAAAAAATAAAAATAAAGAAGCCCAGCTGGTGTGGCTCAGTGGTTGAGCGCTGACCTATGACCCAGGAGGTCACAGCTCGATTTCAGGTCAGGGCGCATGCCTGGGTTTCGGGCTGGATCTCCGGGGCTGGGGCGGAGGGAGAGGGGGAGGTGTGCTGGAGGCAGCCGATCCATGATTCTCTCTCATCATTGATATTTCTATCTCTCCCTCTCCCTTTCTCTCTGAAATCAATAAAAAAAATATTTTTTAAAACCAAACAACAACCAAAAAGTATCTGAGGCACAATAGTTCCTGTTTACGCTGGGAATGTGTTGCCGATGTCACAACATGTTTCCGCTCAGCACGTGCATACAGCCCAGGCCTGTCCAAGCAGCCTTCTTTAAAAAAGAAAAACACGAGGCCATGTCCCACTCCGGAGTGAAGTCGTCTAAAATCAGGTGCCCGGGAACCTCTCGTTTGATTATCTTTTTCACCGTGAACGCGCGGGTCAGGGCTTGAAAAGGTTTACGAGTTCCCTGGGGACACACGGCGGATAGGGATCAGGGCTGTGCCCCATCGTGAGTGTTTCTAGAATCCCTTCTGAGACAGCTCCCCGGGATGACCACGCTCAGAACACAGGTCATTCCAATGCGACATGTGAACGGACTGGGCGCGCCGTGTGAAGCTGGACCCGGACGCCCAGCACACGCGCTTCTCGACGCCCCATGGCGTTCAACAGCACGTCAGAGCGGTTCTGAGTGATGATCTGCTTTTCCCACGGGCTGGGCTGTTTGGAAAGCCTGGGTCTAGCTAACATCGGCAGATTGGCCCACCTAGAATTTCACAGTCCCTTCCCTTGACACGAGGTCTCTGACGGACAGGAGAGGGAAGAGGCGACATTGGGAGGGTTAGAATATAATTCATATCATTGGTAGTAAAATAACTCTGAGTTCCCCATTGCAATTTAATGTAATGTGCTCACATACATTATCTCACTTGACCCCCAAATACAGCCCGGGAGTAGCTATTGCCTCTGCTAACCGAGACTCGGGGAGGCCCCAGGACTTGCCGGAAATCCAAGTGGCGCTCCTCCCCCATGCTGGCCACAGAGAGGAAGGGATTGGAACAGAGGTTTCTAACGATGCGCACCCAGCCTTCTATGGCTTCTTCTAGAATAAATTAGCTGAGAAACGGCCTTCCCGTACCTGCAGAATGGGAGGTTTCCTCACAGTGACGTGAGTTCTGGAACATGGGGCCACAGGCAGAAATGCTCATTGGGACCCAATTAGTGTTGGGGTGTTTCTCCTGCCAGTAATTAGACACTCATTTCTGCTAATTGGCATAAGGAGGCTAATTGCCTCCCTCCTTGCTGCACATGCTTCTGAGACTGACATTAGACCGTTTAGGTATAAATCACAAAGGAAGTGAAAGTGCAGGGAATGGAAACCAATGCATTTCGAAGAAAAGATAAACCAGGGTGTCGTTTGGGTGTGGGAACCAGGAAATACAGGGTGGCCCCCAAAATGTATCCCCACTTTGCAGGATTATAAAGTTGGTGTTTATTTACATACAGCTCGTTTTCAAAGTGTAAAAGCATCTACAGAAATCGACTTGTGTGTGTGTGTGTGTGTGTGTGTGTGTGTGTGTGTGTGTGAACACCTGTTTTCAGAGGATGACTGTCTGGTCCAGGCTCCACGGATAACAGGAGCAATGGAACCTCAAACATCAAGAATCATTTTGTTGGGTATCTGTGCGCCCTCCATTCCTCAACTGTTGATGGTTTTGCACCGTGAACTTTATCTTTTACGTACCCCCATAAAAAGAAAAACGTCAGCTCGCACTTTAGGATTAAAGTTTTCTTTGTTCAGGCTTAGACTGGCTTCGCCCAATATTTCCAATGAGTTAAACCTGAAATGGAGTGAAAATTAAGTGAGTTATCAGTTGTTAAAGTGCGTATACATTTTTGAGGGGAACACCCTATGTCTCTCTCTCTCTCTGTCTCTCTCAAATCAGTAAAAACATATCCTCAGGTAAGGATTAAAGAAATAATAATAAAATAAAATGCACCATACCTTCACCCTAAATTATAAAATAATAATAATAAAATTGGTGTAAAAAATCAGTATATTCTAGCAAATGTAATCTTTTGGAACACATTTCTTTTATTTGCCTTGTTCTCTAAGACTGTTCTAATGTTCTCTGTACAAATTGCTCTATTATTATTACTCACAAGTACCTTGGCAGATGGTAATTATAAGAGTCAGTCCTTTCTTTCTGAAACTGCTTTCCAATCTTCAGGTAATTTTCCTCCTCTGTATTTGTGCATAAAAACAGTGCAGCTCATCCTTTTACTCTTGACTACAACACAACTAGAGAATAAAATTCCCAATGCATGATTACATAAACCTCTTTAAATATCTTTTAAAATCTCACTGTCGGTGCAATCGGAAGATGCCATGTGATTGTATTACGTGCATGTCTGTGCCAAATTTTGCACATACCATCTGTGAAATTTCGAAAGTTCTGCTGCTGAGCATTTCAAAGATGAAAGATGTCTTTGAAGATATATGTGTCCGAAGTAAACATTGTCATTTAATGCATTACCCTGTCCAGTATAAGACACGGTGCCGGAAAGCAATGGATCCAATGGCTTTCCCCCAAGTGGTATAAATATTTTGTCCGAATCACTCCGAGAAACAAATTGATAGAAAAGACAGTAAAAGGGACTTTTTTAAACAAGTCGGAGAAACAGACACCAAAAAGGAAGAAAAATGTTCTTTCAAAATTCCTAGTTTGAAAACAAATAGAAAGATGAGCGCATGGGCGGGAAACGGCGTGTCTGGGAAACCGGCAGTTTCAAGCGGAGGCGTGTCTGGCGGAAATCATGTCGCCTGGATGTTGACTCCTTGTATGTCTACATGCGTGTGTGTTTGAGGTCTCTCTGATGGGTATAACAGTGGGGATACAGAAATGATACGACTGGGTCCGAGCCTTCAGGAGGCTTTTAGTTGGGAAGCGGGGCAAAGCCTGCACCTGGTCTGTCCCAGGTACGGCTGGTAAAGACCAGCGCCCAATAATTCCCTACAGGCAGCGGTCGGCAAACTGCGGCGGGCGCGTCACATGCGGCTCTTTGGCCCCTTGGGTGAGCCCACGGAGTTTCAGTCGCACTGCACGCGGTGATTTGTGGACGCGCCACACTCCAGGGGCCGCAGCCTGCTGACCGCTGCCTTAAAGGGGGCGCTGGGGACTCAGAGCGAGGAAATGCTCTCCACGGGAACCGCCCCGGGGCAGGCATTATGAGGAAGGAGGCGAGGATCTTATTGATCGTTTCACAGCAACGACAATAATGAGACTCACGCGTATACACTAGTCTTCCTCCCCGCTGTTGTGGGTCTGACTTGTACCACGTCACCCCTTTGGGCTGCCTGGATGCTGGGCGCTAGCCTGTCCCCGAGCCACAGGTCAGAAAACTGAGATGAAGGAAGCCTTCCCTGGTTCACCCGGTGGTGGTGAATGGAGACGCTACTGTTACAGCCTCCCAGGCGCCACCACCGGACCGGAGCCCAACGGTCACCTCATCACACGAGAACCTCTTGGGAATAGAAGGCATCATGGTGGTCAATAATGTCTTTATTTAAAAACCTGCTCTGTTTCATTAAATAAATATTTATATTGTCCGCAAGTAACTAGGCCTTAAACTAAAGAGGTTTTTTGTTTTGTTTTGTTTTGTGGTGTGTTTTTTTGTTAATCCTCACCCGAGGATATTTTTCCATTGATTTTTAGAGAGAGTAGGAGAGAGAGGGAAAGAGAGAAACATCCATGTGAGAGAGAAACATCGATTGGTTGCCTCCTGCACGAGCCCTGACCAGGGTCCGGGCCAGGAAGGAGCCTGCGGCTGAGGTACGTGCCCTTGACCAGAGTAGAACTCGGGACCCTTTGGTCCGCAGGCTGATGCTCTATCCACTGACCCACACCGGCGAGGGCTAAACTAAACAGATTTTCGGCGGCAACACGCCTGCATTTTCAGGCGCCGAAAGACCCAGCACCGGACAGCATCTTCAGGGTATTTTCTCTTTGGCTCGGAGCGGTCTCTCCCCGAGCTTGTGACCCCTCATGGCCACACCCTTGTCTTGTTTGCCACATGATAATTGGCACCAACGAGCACTGAGCGTCGGTAGGTTGGTTGAATGAATAATTGAACCCATAGCACACAGTCTAGAAAATAACTCGTCTAGCTTAGGTTTACCAGATAAGCTGCAGAACATCCAGTGACATTAACATTTCTGGTAAACAATAAATCATATTTACGGTACATACAGTAAAAGTCATTCTCTGCTCATCTTAAAGCCTGATCTCGCTCAGTGACCTGGATTTGCATTGGCTCAATCTGGTGACTCTGGTCTAGTTCTTGTTATAAATCAAGATTTACTCATTTACTCAGTCACTTGTCAACAAGTGTGTGTGGCTTCATTAAGTTATTAATGATGCACTGCATGCCGGCCATGTGCCGGGAGGAACTATGCCCTGGGGACTCGGCAGTGAACACTGGCCGGCGCTCGCTCCGTGGAGCATGGGTTTCCAGGGTCCTGCAGAAACTCGCATCCCCCGGGGTGACATCTGGACCAGAATGGGAACCACTGGAGGGGGTGAGATAGGAAGTGATAGGGGCTGAGATAGGGAGAGCAGTGAAAAATAAGTATGTGAAGTGTTACATTTCAGTCCATGGTCAGTGCCCGGAAGAAAAGCAAGATGGAAAGGGTGAAGAGCAAGATGGAAAGGGTGGAGAGGGAAGGGTGGGCCAGGGCTGCCTTAGAAAGTTACTGCTACATGGCGAGAGGAAGCCAGCCATACAAAGAGCCGGGAAAGAGCACCAAGGAGAGAAGGAACAGCCAATACCAAGGGCCCGGGGTAGAAGGGGATTGAGTATCACAGGAAAAGTGGAAAGGCTGTGGGACTCCATCACATGAAAAGCTCCGCACGGCACAGGGAGCCATCAGCAAGCATGAAAGGCTACCTGCCCACTGGGAGGCCATGTTCGCAAAGCTGATAAGGGGTTTATATCCAAAAGATAAATGAGCTCATATAATTCAATACCTTCAAAAAATCCGATTAGAAAATGGCTGGAGGCTCTAAGTAGACATTTTTCCCCAAAGAAGACATACAAATACCCAACACGTACATAGGAAGGTGCTCAACATCACTAATCAGCAGGGAGATGTAATCAAAACCACAGTGAGCTACCACCTCACACCGTAAGAGTTACTGTGATCGAAAAGAGAACAGAGAAGTGTTGGTGAGGATATGGAGAACAGCAAACCCTTGTGTGCCATTGGTGGGACTGTAAATCGGTGCGGCCACTGTGGAAAACGTATGGAAGGTTCTCAAAAAAATAAAAATAGAATTACCATATGATCCCACTTCTAGGTATATATCCAAAGGAAACTAAAATGCCAACCGGAAAAGATATATACCCCACCATCTTCACTGCAGCATCGTTTACAATAGCCAAGACATGGAAAAACCCCAGTGTCTACTGATAAATTAACAAAGAAAATGTGGTACATACATACAATATATTGTTAACCCATGAAAAAGAAGGAAATCTTGCTATTTGCAACATTATGGACCGAGAGGGCATTATGCTAAGGCAGACTGAGAAAGACAAATACTGTGTGTGGAATCAGTATTGCTTATATGTGGAATCTCAAACAACAACAAACCAAACTCACAGATACAGAGAACAGATGGGTGGTTGCCAGTGGAGAGGGGTGGGGTGGGAAAAATGGGAGAAGGGGGTCAAAAGTTACAAATTTTCAGCTATAAGATAAATAAGTCCAGAGGATATAATGAACAGCATGAAGACTATAACTAATCAGACTGTATTATAAATTTATGAGACTAGATCTGGAAAGTTCTCATTACAAGGACAAAATGATTTGTAACTTTGTGTCGTGATCGATGTTGGCTGAGTGTTGTGGTGATCCTTTTGTAATATATACAAATACCAAATCATTATGTTGTACACCTGAAGCTAATATAATGTTGCACACCAAGTAGATCTCAAATTTTTTTAAAAAAAAATAGCAAAGACCAATTGGACTGTCGTGGACAGGGGCTGGGGATGGTATAAACATGTACAAGAAGATGTGAGAAGCAAGCCAGAGCAGGTCCTGCAGAAACTCGCATCCCCTGGGGTGACATCTGGACCAGAATGAGAGCCACTGGAGGGGTTAAGATAGGAAGTGACTGTCCTCTGATCTTTTCAGAAGCCCCTTGGGGTGATGGGTAGGAAATGGCTGGGTCGGGTGGGGTGATGGGTAGGAAATGGCTGGGTCGGGTGGGGTGGGTAGGAGTGGAAGTGGAAGGCCAGTTAGGAGGTGACCCAGGAGCACAGGTGAGTGACCGCGTGGGCCCCTAGCAACCGGCTGACCCCGGTGGATGACCCGGAGGCGGGCTCTGAAGGCAGAGGCAATAGTGCTCAGGAATGACGTGAACTCCGAAGCTGGCAAGAGTGGTGGTGGGGGGGAGGGGGGGGGAACACACTCATTTCCTACTTCAAGGCGTCGGGCTCTGTGTGGGACCTGCGGGCGAGCATAAAGCGACCCGTGTCCTTCCTCCCCAGCTGCCGATCCTGGCCTCGTCGGTGGTCAGCCTGTACTTCCTGGAGCTCACGGATGTCTTCAAGCCCGTGCACTCGGGGTTCAGCTGCTATGACCGCAGCCTCAGCATGCCTTACATCGAGCCCGCCCAGGAGGCCATCCCGCTCCTCATGCTGCTGAGCCTGGCGTTCGCGGGGCCCGCCATTACGGTGAGCATTGCCCCCAACCTGGGTCCTGAGTCCCAGAAAACTGAGGCGGCCCCCTCGGGGCAGCCAGTGGGTTCAAAGCCAGTGAAAGGTGAAGTCTAGCTCCAGGCCCGGGAAGACCGTGTCTCTGAGAGGCCGTGACCGCATCACGTGGGAATGCATCACAGTTTAAAATCACTGGCATGAATAACTAAAGGAGATGTGATTGCAAACATGAAGGTTCGCTAACAGTTTACAAATCATTTTTTTTTTTGGGGGGGGGGAAGGTTTGTAACTGCATAACTCTTGAGTGGCTGGTCCACACACGCATTAATGCGTTATCCGCGTGCTTACGGGGTATCTGAAGTGCGGCAGCCGCAGGGAAAACAGGGGACGACGTGGCCAAGAGATTAGACTCTCCTCTCAAAGGCGCATGTTGGTATCTCTCAGCATTTCCTTTCTTGCTTGATTGGCACTTTTCACTGATTCCGAGCACTGTGGGTCACCAACTATAGAGAGGCCATAACTCACGTGACACACGCACACACGTGCGCACACACACGCACACGCGTGCGCACACACACGCACACACACAGAAAATACTTCAGATGCAGAACAGGCACTTGCCTTTAAAAATATGTAGCATAAAGAAATGCCCTCCCCTGCTGAAGCTGAATTAAAAACATAGTTCTTTTTAGGTTGTCAACAGACACATTGTGAGTAACACTCTATTTTTTTTCATCCTCACCCGAGTATATGTTTATTAATTTGAGAGAGAGAGGAAGGGGGGGGGGGGGGAGAGAGAGAGAGAGAGAGAGAGAGAGAGAGAGGCGTTGATGTGAGAAAGAAACATCAATCTCCTGTACGCACCCTGACCAGGGATCGAACCTGCAACCTTTTGGAACGACACTCCAACCTACTGAGCCACCCAGCCAGGGGGATAGCATGCTTTTTGATAAACTCATTCATAAATAAGCCTGGCCAACCCTTCCCCTCATCTCCTGTGTCCCCCGAATCCTACCTACAGGGCAGCAAACGTGTTTCAAGGTGAATCATGTTCATTTCTCACAGGAGGAACGCTGCCTTTGCGTTCCTCGGGCTCAGGAACATCGGGGGAGGGGCTGCTGAATAAAACGCTGCCTGGGAACGGGGTGTGTGCCCCTTTCCTAACGAGCTGGCCGGTGCCGGTTCGGCGCGTCAGCAGTTTGGGGCGAGTCTCGGCATCGACCTTCTAAAGTCTAGGCTTGCATTGGCTGTGAGTTTGTTTCCTAAAAATCCCCCCTACATTAATAATCATAACACGCTATTTGCACTGCACATAAATCACACCAAATGCTCTCCAGAGACAAAATTAGAGCCTAATTTTCCAAAGAACTTCATCATGCTTAGAAGACCTCAAAACACTTTGAAAATCAATGAGTTGCTTGAGTGCCAGTGACTCCGGCGTGCTGGGAGCTACTAATGATGCATTTGCACGTAGCTGAGACCCGGACAAAGGGAACACATTTAAAGTGCGATGTTGCTCAGAAGAACATTGCTTTCCTGTCGCTTCTTTAAGGGCTTGTGAAAAATGCATACCGCCCACTCCTTTTATAAGAGCAACATGAACATGTGCTTTCACGCTATTACACTAGGAAGCATTTCTCCTCGTTGGGGGGCAATGGACAAATTTATCGGTTGGTTTGTTTGAAACAAAATACTGTACAAATGGCCACGAGTCTGCTCAAAAGGCTGTGTTGATATTAACCAGCTGAGTAATTTGCTTTTCTATATCCCTGTCTTTCTCCCCAGGTATATTTTATTGAGCAGCTAGGAAAGCAAGTCTAGTTGTATCGCAACCCCCCACCCAGCACCATGACTCTCACATCCATCCCTTTGCTGACACATGTGCTGGGGACGGGGACCTTGGCCTCATGTCTGTGTTTCTGCTTCTCTGATTCCCTCATTTCCCATAAGAAATTCTTAACATGCCATGGAAAGAGGCTTCCTGGGGGATTCTGGGTCAAAGTTTTCTTTCTTGAGCCCTGAGAAATGGACATGGAAACAGGCGGGCGCTTCTGGAAATACATCAGCAAGCACCTCCCCTCCCCGAGGAGAATTCCATCTTTAACCAAATCCGGTCATTTTGAAAATCCATGCAATGGCATAGAGACCAAGGTTGAATGGAAGTGTGAGGAAAACATTGATGTTCTCCTTGGAGAGAGGGACAGTTGGGTGATGTCAAAATGCGGACAAAAGCCCTAGCCGGTTTGGCTCAGTGGATAGAGCGTCAGCCTGTGGACTGAAGGGTCCCGGGATTGATTCCAGTCAACGGCACAGGCCTTGGTTGCAGGCTCAATCCCTGGTTAGGGTGTTTGCTGGAGGCAACCATTCGATGTGTCTCTCTCACATCCATGTTATTCTCTGTCTGTCTCTCCCCCTCCCTTCCACTCTCTCTAAAAAAATAAAATAAAATAATGTTATAAAGGTTAAAAACAACAACACACCACTCTCTCTATAATCAAGCCAGATAGCCGGAGAGCACAGTGTTGACATATGTATTTCAGCATATTAAGCAGCTCTGATAGAAAACTCCAGAAACTTCAAGGTCATTTGAGATCATGGCTGTGATGTTGCATGGTGAGACATCATTTCCGAATGGCGCTGTACCAACAAATTCTTATGTAACCTCGCATTCACTAATAAGAAGTGCATCATCATTACAGATGTAATTAAAAAGAAGGAAACAAAATTATCCACAGAATTGTTATTGAAGTTGTGAAAACGAACTCAATCTCTTTGAGCCCTATGACAATGCCTTTCGGAAATGAGTGGGTAATTTTCTTGCGATGATCAATTCGAGACAACCATTATGCTATTCCACGCCCATGGTGCGCCAGGCACAATACAGACCCTTTTGTGTCGCCAAGCCTACCTTAAAGAGATAATGTAGGATGATATTTTTCAAGACGTATAATTAACTCAATGTTCAATGATTTGGAAAAAAATCCTTTTGATTATTTCTCTATGATTGATCTTAAAAGCCTAGCATGTATGCCGCATGATCTTCACACACACATGGTTATTGGTAGAGTTTCATTAAGAAAATTGATTTTTATACAAATGCAGATTCCATAGTACCTATAGAATTAAATAGAGCAGAAGGCCAGGGGGTTCCTATCATGAGTTTTTAAAAGCCTATCATTTTAAATAGTTCATAAAATATTATGCTCAGTACTGGAACTGGGATGTTTCCTTGGAAAAATCTATTTCAGCCCTAATCATGGTCGTAGTCCTTAAAGGGACACGACCACTTATACTGAAGGGACTGCCGGGATCTCACGTAACCCTGCTTTTCTCAGTTCTGCATGTTTACACAAGTCAATTCTAATTTCACAATAATCTCTTAGGCACAGTAACCCCAAATATTTTAGATTTCTTTTGCATAAATAAAACTCATGATTTCAGACCTTGCTTCCCTTATACAGAGTGACCAGCAGCCCAGACGCCCAGGGCCATTAGCCGACGAGAATCCCACGGTGAGGTGACAGGTGCAGGCCCCACAGTGCCAGGTACTGAGCCGGACAGTGAGGGTAAACGGCAAAGAGAAACGGGTCTCCCTCAGAGGGCCGGGGTTAGGGAGAGATCAAGAACATGACGGACGTGCCCTTCAACCAGGCTGTGCTAGAGGGCAGGGCGGGTGCCGAGGAGCCACATACAAGGGGGCGTCATTCGATTGGGGTCTAACTACAGTCGCTCCCCTCACTGACATGCAGTGTCGTAGATCCTACGGCAAGTGCAGGCCCCTATCAGACAGCCTTTCTGCTGGGCTCGTCTGTCCACCGTTTCTAACTGGCTTATACCCAGGACACTCTGCCCAGCAGGAATGGAGAACGTCTCAGAAATGACTTCAGCCACATCCGCCACAACTCCATTTCAATTGTCCTGGAGCGCTTCCCCTGACATCAGCTTCCCTAGAGCCTCCCGGAGCCTGCATCCTCCGATAAGACAGCCCTGGCCACCTGTGGCTATGTCCCTTTAAATCCAGGTGGCCTTCCATTTTAAATAATTAAATACAATGAAATGAAATAAAAACTGGGCTCCTCAACTGTGGCAGCTGAATTTCAAGTAGGCACGTGTGGGTAGCGGCTCCCGCAGTGGGCAGGGCGGAGGGCTCGTCCGTGTCCCAGAAACTCCCACTGGCCATCTGCGATGGCAGCACCCTCCCCCCCTCGCGCATGCTCTCTGTGGGTAGACCCTTCTGCGCAGTCCCAGCTGCTTCACTGCCACAGTCTGCTGGGAAGTGCTCCTCCCACACCCCTGTACTATTCCATTCTCCTTGGGCATCTTGTTTCCTGGGTTTAGGAACGAAGTGCCAAGATTTCAAGAATGAGGGCAGAATCCGTCCCCGGGGGGTTAGTGGGTTAGGAGCCACTGGGTGCTGGTGAGCAAAGGGCCAGATCTGGTGCTGCCACATGGAAACTCCAGATGCCATCACGCCCTTGACCAGCGGCAGGAGCTCAGAAGGTCCAACCGATGCCCTTCCGGGGGCCTGGCTGCGAGGGAGAGGCCGGTCACGTGCTGCTAGGACCACGCTTCTCTGCCTTGTGGCGCTGACCGTGTGTTAAGCGGTGGCTTATCACTCACCTGAGCCCACTGAGCCCACGCGGGACCCTCTTGTCTTTGCAGATCATGGTGGGGGAAGGCATTCTCTACTGCTGCCTGTCCAAGAGGAGGAACGGCGTGGGCCTGGAGCCCAACATCAACGCCGGGGGCTGCAACTTCAACTCCTTCCTCAGAAGGGCCGTCCGATTCGTCGGTGGGTGTGGGAGCCGCAAAGAAAGGAAGTGGTTGTTTCAAACAGAAATGTTCTATTTAATCACAGAGATTAGGTCTCTAAGGCTGTAATTTAACGTGCGCATTTCAGCATGTTTTTGTCTGAGCTCTGGCGGAAGCATGCATTTACTTTGAAATGGTTCCATTGGATCTGTGTTCATTTTTTAAAATATACTTTTATTGACTTCAGAGAGGAAGGGAAAGGGAGAGAGAGAGAACCATCAATGATGAGAGAGAATCATTGCTCAGCTGCCTCCTGCACGTCCCACACTGGGGATCGAGCCTGCAACCCGGGCATGTGCCCTGACGGGGAATCAAACCGTGACCTCCTGGTTCATAGATGGATGCTCACCCACTGAGCCGCGCTGGCTGGGCTGTGTTCATTTTTAAAGTGAGAGTGCGTGTCAGCAGGCCAGTAGGAATGAATGGCTCCTCACCAATGACTTTGGTCACATCAGTAATTCCATGTGGATTGTCCTGCAGTGTCACCCTACAGCCCGCACCATGGCTGTTCCTCCTTGGTTACCCTAAGTCTCTGGCTCTGTTCTCTGAGACCCGCAGAAAACTCACAGGCCTGGCTACCCGGCCTCTGTATCAATCCAGCATCTAAACCTCCATCTCTTCTGGTTGACATGGAAACGTCTTAATGTTCTTTGAGTCACAGGTCTTTTTTTATTTGTAAGTGGGTTGAGAAGTGAAGCCACAGCGCCTCACGCCAACAGGAATGCTGTACATTCATTCCCAGTAAGTCAGTGGAAAGGTATTGTACCTGCAACCTGTCATCTCAGAGAAACGGGGCTCATCAGCACCTCAGAGGTCATTAAACACAGCTGTCTCCGCACCGAGGGGGAGTCTGGTCTGGACCCTGCCCACTAAGCAAGGCCCAGGGAGACGGGGAGACAAGGCTAGGCCCCGTGGCAGCATCAGAAACTGCCTGGATAAGCATCCCAGTGCTCTGCCTGGGTGAGCATCCCAGTGCACCTGCAGCCCTCAGGGAGTCAGGGCCGGTTCTGGAGGGTTTGGCGGCTGTGGCTAGAGTTAGGGGATGCGGGGGGTCAGAGGGGAAGGGAGAGACAGAGCCCTGGCAGCTCAAGCATGGTAAGCAACTTCAAATTGTTTTTAATTCTCCTTCATTCCCGATATTTAACCCAACCCGTCACCTTAACATGTTCCAGGGGTCCTATGGTGACAGGGGTCCTATGGTGAATACAATTGGGAATTGGCCTTATTTAAACAAACTGACAACAGTACCTCAAATGGCTACTTTGAAGATAGTCGTTGCCATTCTGTTGACCTTAAGCATCTGTTTAGAAGTTAGGGATGTTCTGTATTATCTCCTCGAAATAGAGAAAACGATCACCACAGATTCGAAGGTCGATGGTGGCCAGCATCCGCGCCGGGCGCTAACCTGGCCACAGCTCTGCCCTCTCGCGCGCAGGTGTTCACGTGTTCGGCCTGTGCTCCACGGCCCTCATCACGGACATCATCCAGCTGTCCACGGGGTACCAGGCGCCCTACTTCCTGACGGTGTGCAAGCCCAACTACACCTCCCTGAACGTCTCCTGCAAAGAAAACTCCTACATCGTGGAAGACATCTGCTCAGGCTCGGACCTCACCGTCATCAACAGCGGCAGGTAGGGGCGGCCGCCGAGCCCGGGCCAGCTCGGGGCGCGCAGGCTCCTTAGCAGCTGGGGGCCCCCGCGGCCGGCCGTTTGTGGCCGCCGTGATGTGGACGTTCTTTTGCTTTTCCATTCAGTGAGCTCTGTCGCGGTGACACCCTAGAAGCCCAGCGGCGGCTCATTCCCCGTCTTCCTCCCTGTGTCCACATGTCAGGCTCACACTCTGCCGCTATCTTCCTGTCGCCAACCTACTCGGGTTCTGTGATCCGCCCTCTGCTCGTGACGCTTTAGGTGATCGGGCTCGGTTTATTATAGGCTATTGATAGTTTTCCGTGCTTACAGTCGGTATGTATCCGTCCTGACGTAAGTGGAAGACTAAATGTCCATGATATTTGCTCATCCATTGTGTGTTTTATAAAACAACCATGGGAATTGGCCTTTCGGTAGAGTTTTAAAAGGGGTAACAGCCGGGATGGCATGATTAAACCCGGAAGATCTGTACAGCTTCTGACTTTGCACTTCAAAAAAACAGGAGATAGAAAAACTCAAGAACCTACCAATGCATGAACGTTTTTTCAATCAATAAAGTAAAAAAAGAAACTTGAATGGCAAGAGGTAATTTCGAAGTTCAAGAGAAATAAGTCCGAGAAGGCTGAGGGGCAGTGAGTGACTGTGATGTGAATTGTATTTGTCATTCAAGGGCTTCCCAAAGATCGGTTTCAGGGTCAAAACCAGTTGAAAAGCACATTCGCAGACAGTCGGAGCCTGATGTGTGGAGTTAGACTCACTCGGGTCCTCGGGTCCATTCAACAATTCTGAGCCCACATTTGTGACCTGGGGCCTCTGTCCTTTCTCAGTCCTCTTACGTTATCTTGTCTGTATTGAATGGTAACCCTTTCCATTGGGAGCCAAACAACCAGGAGGACACGATTATAACTGAATTGTTTTTTCCATGAAAAGAAATCTCTGTTCTTCTTTTGTTTCTTTTCCAATGTCTCTCCCATTACCCTGTGAGCCTCCAGCTCCCTGCTTCTTCAATTATTTAACTAAACAAGAAGCTCTGTGGCTCCTGAGATAACACTCATTCCAAAGGGGACTACACAGAGGAACGTTTTGTGAAGATGAGATCTTTCTTATGCTTTATGGACTGTAAACACACACACCCTTAGACCCATGGCTATGAGAACATAATTTTGTCTTAAAATTTTATGTACATGAAACCATATATTTAGGAGCATAGAAAAAATGAAAAGCTTCAAAATCCTAGGTTTTATGAACTTTCACTTTATGAACTGACATGATCCTAACACCAAACAATTACAATGTCTTCCAATCCGCTTCTACTTTCCACCGTCATTGCAGTCGTGTGGGGAAGTGACCCGGGCGGGGCCAGCACCTGCTCTGGGAAGGTGCCCCGCGCGGCCTTAATGCCAGGGGTGGTGAGCGGTGCCTCTCCTACCGCTCAGATGTTTCCCCGGAAAATAAATGCCAGGCACTGCTGTTGCCTGGTGGCGTCTGAGCTGAACGTGTGAGCCACAGGGTGTTCTTGAGCTGGTCGTGGGCGTGTGTCTGAAACAGGAGGCGTAATCTGACTGTCTTCCTTCGGCAGAAAATCATTCCCTTCCCAGCACGCGACCCTCGCTGCCTTTGCCGCTGTGTACGTGTCGGTGAGTAACGGGGTCTCTCTCATCGGTCTGTGTCCCAGAGGAAGTCAGGAATGAGCTTTCTCCTCCCAAGTCCATCAGGCCGCCGTGTAACAACAAAACAGTCGGCTCCAGCACAGGGGTCCTTCTGCACACGGCGCCCAGAGCAGCAACGGTGCTGCCAGGGACAGTGCTAGAGGAAAGGACAGTTCTGCGCAGCTGTGTTAGGCACGCAGTCTGGCGTCCCTGTAGTGAAATAGGGGGCTTCATGAGGGAGCTGTGAACTGCCTGGAGGGTGTAATTCTAAAACTGAAAGCATCGTCTTACGTCCACACACGCACACACGCACACACGCACAAGCTTGAGCTGCTTTGCTCCTGTAACTGTGAGTTCTAAGTCAGTGTCAATAGGATAAATGCTGTGCCATGAACTGTCATCGTAGCCGATTAATACAATAGTTCATCAGCTCTTATAGGAGACAGATGAACAGGGATTATGACAAATACCTGGAGGCTAAACACGCGTGTGGCTAACTGTACTGCGTCCATCTTTTTCAGACGTCCGTGTAATTCACTGAGGTTAATTTCTTGATGAGTTCTGTCTGGCGAGTCCTTCCTCTCCGGGAGAGAGCGTAGAGAGAGCAGGGGGAGCGGGACAGTAGCACTGGTGTGGAGCGCATTGGTTAGACTTTGGCGTCCAGCTTTTTATTTGGTGATGATGTCATAGTAAAATGACCTTCCTCCCGACTTAACCTCTTTCTCTCATGTGTAAGATGTACTTCAACTCCACGTTAACGGACTCCTCGAAGCTCCTGAAACCCCTCTTGGTCTTCACGTTCATCATCTGCGGCATCGTCTGTGGGCTGACGCGCATCACGCAGTACAAGAACCACCCCGTGGACGTCTACTGCGGCTTCCTGATCGGAGGAGGAATCGCTCTGTACTTGGTACATGGTTGCTATCGTTATGGGACAAGCCACGGTTTAACATGGAATCCCGCGTAGACTAGGTGGCACTGTAAGGATTTACTTAAAGCAGGGGTCCTCAAACTTTTAAACAGGGGGCCAGTTCACTGTCCCTCAGACCGTTGGAGGGCCGGACTATAGTTTAAAAAAAAAAAAACTATGAACAAATTCCTATGCACACTGCACATATCTTATTTTGAAGTAAAAAAACAAAATGGGAACAAATATAATATTTGTATTTGCATGTGGCCTGTGGGCCGTAGTTTGAGGACCCCTGACTTAAGGTATAGTTTCTCTTCATGACAAACAACCTGGCTGCATCTTCATTCTGACCCAAAGGACAGAGCCCACTTCCAGTCTAATAAGCTATTAAACTCTCACCATGGCCCAGACACTGCGATCTTAGAAGGAATATTGTATTTTACACACACACACACACACACACACACACACACACACAGGAGCCAGGGATGAGCATACTTTTACAGATGGGGAGAGTGAATGGTGAAAGCGAAGGGTTAGTGGAAGACCATATACCTTGCCCAGCAACACAAATGGGGCACCTGGATCCAACTGATCCAACTAATACGGAATTATTTAACAGAAATCTGTCTTCAAGCCTGATCTTTCCTCAAGGGAAGTGTCCTCAGAATAAGGAAACTGAGATTGTCCATTTCATTCATTCATTCATTCATTCATTCATTCTACATTTATGCAATATTCTATCCGTGCCAGGCACTATACTGAGCACCCAAAGAGTGACAAATAAGATATATCCTCGAGGCGTTTACAGCGTGAAGACTAGTAAGAATACCGTAGGCAGAGGTGACTTGCAGTCGAGTGGAGGATGCTCCTACATTTCAATGCAGTTGTTAATGGAACATGAAGTAGGGACCGCTTCTCCCGGGCACTCTGGCAGCGAGAGTGCAGACAGATACTTCAGGTTTGAACAGGAACCGAAGTAGTTGGAGAGACAGAGCCTCTTCCATTCCTGTTGCTCTCTGTGCCCTGAAATTGGAGACTTCTCGGGGCTAGGCCACCGCCACTGTAAATTAAGCGGCTCCATAGCTTGTTAAGTCTGTGGGATTCTTCCGTTTGGCTGGAAAAGGACACAGTGGCTACCACCTATGAAATTAGCACGCACGTGGGAGTCTGCCCTGGCTCTCATCTCTAAACGAAGCGCCTCAAAACCGAATAACCCCGCAGGGATCAGATCCTCTGTGTGTACAGGGGTAAACAACTGACTCGGAATTTCAACCTTTTCCAATGTTTTATCCCCCAAATCAAAAACAAGAAATGGAGAGCCTGCGTGTGCAGACAAAAGATTAAATAAAACTTGGCTCCGATTTCGTGTAATAGCACTAAATCCACCAACTCTGATCTCCCCACTGAAGACCAAGCTTAAGTCCAGAAAGGTCATGGGCGCCCCAATCAGGGACAGTTTCTGCCCGGTCTTCCCAGAACCTTCCGTGCCACGCTGCCCACATGGGCTGTGCTCCCGGCAACTGTGACAACACACACGCCTGACCTCGTTGCAAAACCTGGTGTCATGCATGAGGTGTTGTTCTCGATTCTCCAAACTTCTGCTTTCCATCAGACAAGTGATAGGAAATGAGAGGTAACATGAACCATTTAAGCCCCCGGAGGTGCCACTCAACAAGAGATCCTGAAACCCAGAAAAAAATGAACCACTGGGGAAAGCAGAAGAATGTTCATCCATCTGTCATTGTCCGACTTTTCTTTTCAAAACATACAGAGGATTAAACTTACAAAAACATCCCGGGGGGTGGGGGGTGGGGTGGAGAAGGGAGAGAAAACCCAACTGATAAAAAATATAATGGGGATGGGGGTAGGGGGCCTGGGTGGAAAAGGTGAAGGGATTGAGCAACAATAAGTAAATAAATAAAAATAAAAACCTCACAGGCAGACAGCAGCATGGTGACTGCCAGGGGGTAAGGGGGTGGGGGGAGGTGGGAGAGGGGAAAGGGAGATAAATGGAGATGGAAGGAGACTTGACTTGGGGTGGTGAACTCACAATACAATATACAGGTGATGTGTTATAGGATCGTAGACCTGAAACCTGTATAATTTTATTAACCAGTGTCACCCCAATAAATTCAGTTTTGAAAAATGGGCTCCAGCCCTAGCCGGTTCGGCTCGGGGGATAGAACATCAGTCCTGGGCTCGATCCGGCCAAGGGCACGCACCTCGGTTGCAGGCTGGATCCCAGCCCTGGCTGGGGCGTGTTGGGGAGGCAACCAATCCATGTGTCTCTCTCACATCCATGTTTCTCTCTGTGTCTCTCCCTTCCACTCTCTAAATATCAATGGAAAAATATCCTCGGGTGAGGACTAACCCCCCCCCAAAAAAAATTTTTAAAAATCAAGGGATCCATATTTCTGAACAGTCTGTGGCTTGTGCTCTCACATGCACACGATTCCCCCAGTAACTGGTTTCCCTTGTTTCGCGATGTGTGTTAGTCGGTGGTGGATAGAGCGTGCACCTTGCTGATGTGGTCAGAGGTCCCCGGGAGGAGCTCCCAGTGACCTCGTGTTGTGTGGCATTCACCCCTCCCCGAACTCACACCCCTCCCCCACACTCACACCCCTCCCCACATTCACACCCCTCCCCGCACTCACACCCCTCCCCACATTCACACCCCTCCCTGCATTCACCTCTCCCTGCATTCACCCCTCCCCGCACTCACACCCCTCTCCGCATTCACCCCTCCCCGCAGGGCCTGTACGCCGTGGGGAACTTCCTGCCCAGCGAGGAGAGCCTGCAGCACCGGGAGGCTCTGCGGTCGCTGGCCGAGCTGCACCCCGACGCCAGCCGCGTGCTGGCAGCCAAGGCCGGGGCCTGCGACGGCATCGCGCACACGGAAGGCATCCTCGCCCGCACCCCCCGCGACGCCAGCGCGCTGTCCAGCCTCAAGCGCGCCAACGCCGACGTGGAGATCATCACCCCGCGCAGCCCGCTGGGCAAGGAGAACATGGTGACCTTCAGCAACACGCTGCCGCGGGCCAGCACGCCGTCGGTGGAGGACCCGGTGCGCCGCCACGCCAGCATCCACGCCTCCATGGACTCGGCGCGCTCCAAGCAGCTGCTCAGCCAGTGGAAGAGCAAGAACGAGAGCCGCAAGCTGTCCCTGCAGGTCATGGAGCCCGAGCCCGGCCAGTCGCCGCCGCGGGCCATCGAGCTGCGCTCCAGCTCGGAGCCGGCGCGGGTCGGGGTGAACGGGGACCACCACGGGCCAGGCACCCAGTACCTCAAGATCCAGCCGGGGCCCGGGCCCGTGTGCAACAGCGTGCCCGGGGGCCCGCGCGTGTCCCTGCAGGCGCGCCCCGGCTCCTCGCAGCTGGTGCACATCCCCGAGGAGGCGCACGAGGCGCTGGGCGCGTCCCCCAAGGGCAGCTCGGCGCGCGCCAAGTGGCTGAAGGCGGCCGAGAAGACCGTGGCCTGCAGCCGCGGCAGCAGCCAGCCGCGCATCATGCAGGTCATCGCCATGTCCAAGCAGCAGGGCGTCCTGCAGGGCGGCCCGCCGGGCGCCGACGGCAGCGCGGTCACCTGCACGGGCTCCATCCGCTACAAGGCGCTGACGGACCACGAGCCGGGCGGCGGCGGCATCGTCCGGGTGGAGGCGCACCCCGAGAACAGCCGGCCGGTCATCCAGATCCCCGCGTCCACCGAGGGCGAGGGCAGCGGCTCCTGGAAGTGGAAGGCCCCCGAGAAGGGCAGCCTGCGCCAGACCTACGAGCTCAACGACCTCAACCGGGACTCGGAGAGCTGCGAGTCGCTGCGGGACAGCCTGGGCTCCGGCGAGCGCAAGCGCGGCAACATCGACGGCAGCGACCACCACCACCACGGCGTCACCACCATCCGCGTCACCCCCGTGGACGGCAGCGAGGGCGGCTCCGAGACGCTGTCCGTGTCGTCCTCGCGCGACTCCACGCTTCGCCGGAAGGGCAACATCATCCTGATCCCCGAGAGGAGCAGCAGCCCCGAGAACACGAGGAACATCTTCTACAAGGGCACCTCCCCCACGCGGGCCTACAAGGACTGAGGGCCGCGCCCGACAGGCCAGCCTGGGTCCTACTCGCGCGCTGTCCCAGCAGGTGGGGGGGTGGGGGACAGTGAGACTTTGCTCCAGACTAGCTCCTCCAGCATCCGTGACTCACGCACCGTGGGAGCTGCTACCCTCAGCGCGTGGGGGGCCCCCGGGGAGGGAGAAGCACAAGGCGAGGGCCTCAGCGAGGCTGGGAGCTCTGCGGGGGGCCAGCGCAGAGGACAGCCATTGCCTTCCCTGGATGCTATGTCACTCCCCCAATGTGCCAACATAAGGGATCCCCCCCCCTTTCTAATTAGCAGTGGGGGTCCAGACCTCGGCTCCCCATGCACAGGCCACAGGTTTTATATATCCATTCAGCAGAATCCACACCCCACACTCCCTGTAGGGGTGCTGGTTAGTCTAGTCAGTGCATCTCCCACGCCACCCCCAGCCCCCCAGCCCCCCAGTTCTACCTAGCAGTGCAGTAGTGTGTGCAGTCCTGGTCTGAGAAATGCTACTGTGTGAGAGGTCGCTGGCTGCTTCATGGTAGACGTGGGCACCCCATAGCTCCCCCATAGTGGCTGTCACCGTCCACACATGCAAAGGTTTGGTGCATTTTGTTTTCTTCAAAGCTATGCTTTCTTCAACAACAACAACATTGTGTGTTTTCAGCAAAAGGGAATCGCTAAGTGCTTTTCTGCATCGTTTTTGTTTCTTTGCGGCTTACTTTTTATTTCAGTGTAGGCACTGCTAATGAAGAATCTGGCTTCCAGTGAGTAAATTTGCTTCACTTAAAAATATATTGTTTTAGAGAGAGCTTTTTGAATGGTTGTGATCCTACTCAGTGTTTTATGGCTTGTCCTTTATTTATTGATTTTCTATATATTTTTTGATGTTATAGATAAGCTCTGCTATTTTTAAAGTGAAAACAACCATTGACATGTCGTCAGTGAAATGTATCGCTGTGAACTTAGGAACAAGGAACCTGAACCAAAACTTGACCTTGGGCTACATTGCTGGCTGGCTTAGGCTGCTCTTTGAACAAGTAATCCAAGAATTCCACGCAGCTCCAGGTTATTAGCTTTTTTGATGTCCTGATAACCAGTAAACTAGGGCCACATTGGTGGGTTTCACCTTCTTCCTCATTTTTATTCATTCGACACCCACAGGAAGAATGTGAAACAGATGCAAATGGATAACAAAAGCATCTCCCAGAATAAACGAAGGCTGCATTTCTTTAAAACATCTAAACAGACACAGCCTTGGTGCTTCGTGTGCACACGACAGTCTTTGCTATCTGTCCTGAATGGGGCTTTCAGGAAAACAATCCTATATAATAAAAGGCTAATATGCAAATCAACCAAACAGCAGAATGACCGGTCGCTAAGATGCGCACTGACCACCAGGGAGCAGACACTCAATGCAGGAGCTGCTCCCTGGTGGTCAGTGCGCTCCCAAAGGGGGAGCACCACTCAGCCAGAAGCCAGGCTCATGGCTGGCGAGTGCAGTGGCAGTGGCAGGAGCCTCTCCCGCCTCTGCAGCAGTGCTAAGAATGTCTGACTGACGGCTTAGGCCCACTCCCCATAAGGGAGTGGGCCTAAGCCGTCAGTCAGACATCCCCCTGAGGGCTCCCAGACTGTGAGAGGGCACAGGCTGGGCTGAGGGACCTGCCCCCCACCCCCCGCCCTGAGTGCACGAATTTCATGCACCGGGCCTCTAGTATTACCAATAAGAACAAAAACAAAACATGCTGAGGTGTTTCCAACATAAACATTTCTGTTAGGTGCAAAGAAGTATTTGATCCTTGGAACATAGTGTGCGCTGTTTTCTACACGTTTCTTAAGAATCCTCACCTCCACGCATGACTGCCAGGGGGACCCAAGGTTACAACCAGGCCCGCCCGCCTGACCGGGACGTCGGATACAGAGCGACCGGAAGGCCTTGTTTAGAAAGGAGGGTACCTGTCATTACCACCTTCTGCGGGGAAGGGGCGAGCTTCCGAGAGCCGCCCACCTCCAGGAGCTTAGGGATGTAGCCGAAACCAGCAGAACTGAAAACTCTGGCAATAAAATACAGATTCAGCTCCGTCCCTCTGGCAACCTCCTTCTCGGAGCGGGGAGTGGGAACCAAGCACTGCCTTGCCCACTTCTCCCCGACACCCCCATCCCGAATCGCCTGGCTTTGGCCGGTTCCTAGGGAGCAAGGTTTTAGTACTCTGAAGAACAAAACAAAACACAACAAAAACAAATCCTGCAGCATTTCCGGCGCAGTGTGGTATTTCCTAATCTTTCCTACTTCTTGACAAAAGATTTTAAAGAACTTCTCTAGTCATTGAAGCTTTTGTTCTTTACATAAATCTTGATACATTCTTTTTCTACTCAAAGTGCCAAAGGCTACAGTTTTTAAAGACTTCCAATTGTACCACGTTGTTAAGGAAATCCAATGACAGCCGCTAGAACTCAGACCTCTGCATGTGTATTTGATAACACATCTTTTGTAAAAAAGATAGTAATAATTACAAAAAAAAATTGTTTACATTCCACTGGTACCTTAACTTAGAGTAAGCGAGACTGACAGGTGGTACCCTTCCCCGTGTTCGATTCCTCTCATTTGCTCAGAGAGCACCTCCTCCTCCCTGAGCCCTTAGGCTGTGCTTTCCTGGTAAAACCAAGTACTGAACAAAGAGAGTTAATTATCTTTTTAAAGTAAATAAAGTTATGGAAATAGATATATAATATATATACACAAAGTATCGTGTTTAATAAAATGTTGCACAGTGTTTTCCAAACTGATCAAGTTTGTAAAGTGCTATAATGTATTTTGTTAAGTACAGATCAAAGCTATCGTGTGAGTATATTGTGCTAACATCCTAGAAATAAAGATTAGATTTCTTCATCAGAATTAGGTCATTTTGTGTGTTTTGTTTTGTTTTTAACTTCAGAGCATGTATGAATGGTAATGACCTGGCTTACAGGAACACGGATGAAGAAATAAGAAGGCATCAGAACTGATACAGTGGTTCTCCACCTTCCTAATGCCATGACCCTTTAATACAGTTCCTCATGTTGTGGCGACCCCCAACCATAAAATTATTTTCGTTGCTACTTCATAACTGTAATTTTGCTACTGTTATGAATCGTCATGTAAATATCTGATATGCAGGATGGATTTTCAGGGGTCGCGACCCACAGGTTGAGAACCGCTGCTAGAAGAAAGACTATTGCCCCAGGAAAGAAAGGCTTGTCAAACCATGACATAGCATTTCCTTATCATTCAGCATTTTTACCTTGAGCGTCTTAAAGGGAGCGCTCTTAGACTTCTCTAGACATAGATTACTCACATCGCCTGTGAGAGAACTCCATCTAGACTCTGGTGTGAGCTTCAAAATAGACCCAGCGACAAGCAGACCAGTAGCATGAAGAAACGATGATGACCATGGTATGTACATGAAGCCTCCGCCTCTTAACCGCCTCAGGACACCTCGCACCCAAAGGAAGAGTGTGGGCCACCCTCTCTACCAGGGCTCTTTCCCCTGCTTAATGGTTTTCTCTTCCAGCCTCTGCGGTCCTCTGAGAAGAGGTATGTCCATCTTTGAACATTAGGAAAACCTAACCCCATCCCCAGCTCAGTCTTTCCCATCCCATCTCTAAGTTAGATAATGGAAGGTAATTTTACAGATATTTCTGGAGGCATGGAAAGAGGTATTTTCAAAAGTAAAGTGAAAATGAGTCAAGGACTTAAATGTAAAGCTAAAATTTTTAGTGAAAGACAGAGGAGAAGGTCTTTGGAGCTGGGTCAAGGACCCGTGACTAGTCCTTGGTTGAATATGTGTCTTCAAATATTTTTTCCTGCCTGTATGTATCCTTTCATCTTGGTAACAAGATCTTTCAGAGCAAGTGTTTTAAATTCTGATGGGGACCAACTTAGCTTTTCCCGTTACGGGCCATGTTTTTAAAGTTACATTTTAAAAACATTTTTAAAACCTCAATATTCAACAGTAAAAAAACACACACACATAAACAGTAAAAACTAAAATAGCAAAATAAAAAATATGAATAGACATTTCATCAAAGAAGATAAACAGAAAAAATCACACCTAAAAATAGATGGTCAGTGTCACTAACTGTTTGGGAAGTACAAATTAAAACCACAAGGAGATATTGCTACCCCTCTGTAAGAACGACTAAACTAAAAAAAAAAAAAAAAAAAGTGATGATACCAGCTGCTAGCAAAAACTTGGAGAAACTGGATCCCTTCCATATTGCCGCTGAGCATGTAAAATGGTCCACCTGCTCCGGAAAGCGGTGCGTCAATTCCTCATTTAAAAATAAGAATTCCTGGGCCGTACCCTTGGACCCCAGAATTGCACTCTTGGGCACTTATGCCCACAGAAATGCAAACTTATGTCCATACACAAAAATGGCACCTATATGTCCATCTCGGTTCTACTAATAATAGGCAAACACTAACTTGTAAGTTCTACCAGAAGCAGCTCTCAGCACAGCAGGTGCTCAATCAATATCAGAAGAACGGGGTGAGTGCAGAACGTCCTGTCTGCTGGGAGTGGAAAAAACGATGAAAACAAGTAAATAACCGAACTTATTGCACCAAGGAAAGTGCGAAGGGTTTGCAAGAGAAAGACAGGGTTGCCTGTCTGATTGCACCCCACACTCCACGGGGCTCAGAAACCCCCCAGACTCCGAGGGGAAATTTGTTACTTGTGTTCGTCTCCTTTGAAGCGTCTGTTTCCCAGGTGGGCGGGGTGCACGCTGGTCCTTTGAACGGGCCGTCTGTTCACAACGGTTGTTTGTTCCAGGACTCCCACCGCCAGTCCTGTCTGGGCAGGCGCCAACACAAAGGACCGATTTAGTCTATCTGTTTGTTAAAGGCCGCTGGAGTCAGCACTCACCGTTATTTTCAAGTTCAAAGTCAGATATCAGAGTCCAGGGACTTGAGAGATTTCTTTCAATCTAGCATATCCACTGGTCTCTTGTTCCCACACAATACATCCCAGAATGCCACAATGACTCTCAGAACTGGGAAGATCCTGCTGATGCCCCGTGGGGTCACCCCCACGGACGCTGAGACGTGGGGGCCGCGTCTGAAACGGCTCCTCTCCCCCAGGCTTAACGGGAGGAAAATCCAGGAAAGGCCAGTTCCCGCTGCGGTTCCGCTCCTCTGTTCTCCACGCCGTCACATACGTGAGTGAACAACGTGAGAGAACGGACATGTAGCCAAGTGACCACAGGAAAGTACTGATATAGGAGGAAAGCACCTTTTAAATATATTTTTACTGATCTCAGAGAGGAAGGGAGAGAGAGAGAGAAACATCAATGATGAGAGAGAATCATGGGTCGGCTGCCTCCTGCACACCCCACACTGGGGATGGAGCCCGAAATCGGGGCCTGTGCCCTGACCGGGAATCGAACCGTGACCTCCTGGTTCATAGGTCGGTGCTCAACCCCTGAGCCACACCTGCCAGGGCTATTTGTTAATCCGCAGACGCGGGGAGCAAGGCTGGGCCTACGGCTCACACTGCGCAGAACTGAGCTTCCAGGGAGCAGCCACCACCTCCCAGGTCTGCTCCCGGCTCCGTCCCCACCCCCACCCCGGCAAGACCTTGGAGCTTGGAGCGCTGTCACTATGGGGACAAGTCAGAGGAAGTCTTCAGTGCCCGAGGTCTAGATTGTTAGACCGCGTGGCGTGGGGGCAGTGGGTGTGCGCAGCCTCTAGAAGAAGCACACCCCTGTACGTGTGTGTGACTGCCTCAGGTTTCCTCCTGGCGTGGCTCCTGGAGCCTGTTTCTAAAGAGCATGAGGAGCGGGAGAGGGGTCTGTTTCCATGGGAACAAAGGTAACGACGGAGAAACCTGTGGGAGCTGGAGTGTGGTGGGACCCTGTGTCCCAAACGACCTTCCGTGGCGACTGAGCACTTACTAATTCTTAAGTGTACAAACATGGACTTTCCGGCCTCTGAAAAGAAACCTATTTTGTCAGAAAATTCACTGCATTTTTCATTGGGATTGGCACTGTTTAAATATTGGGGGTGGGGTGGGGTTGGGGGGAGCCAGCTAAAGCATAAATATTCCAGGAGAAAGTGGAGGCAGCACAAAATAATTACTTTTCCTTAAACATTAACTCTGCCGTACATCTAATTAAGACACACCGCCTACTTGCCAGAGAGCCCGCAGAACCCAACAGCAGTAAGAAAGCAGTAAGCGACTCATCCCTCTCGTCTGAATTTACACGATGAACTGATATGACATAATGCGATTTGGAAGAAAAATTGCTAACTTACAAGTAACTTCTCATAATGAATGGAAGAGAGCGGGTTCGTCTGTGCTGTATTTTAAGGGCCCGGCGAAAAGCATCCGTCTGAGGCAAGTCTGTAGCTCACATGCAACCTCCGCTGGA